GGCCCACTCTGACCTGCGTGGGTCTGGGTCAGACCCAATCCGGCCTTGAACATGATAGGCCAGTTCACGGGCCTAAACTAGCCCGGCTCACGCCCACCCCTATATATAGATATAATGTAGTATTTTAGGAAGTGAAATTTTAAAATAAGAGAGTTTGTTAACAAGGATGTCAAGGAAAGGCACAACCTCATTTAATTTAATAAATTTTATTATTGCACATGAAAATATGAGTACATAATCTATGTATATGATAATACAAGCTCCTTAGGTATCCTAAAAGAAATTGTTATATTCAGCGTATGCATAATAGACCTAAAAGGCTCTATTTATATCTTTCTTTTTTCTTTTTTCTTTTTTCCTTTTTTTTTGTGTGTTCTTCACATCGGGGCTGCGTCCTCGCAAAAGTATCAATTCCTCCAACCTTTTTTTATTATCAGAATTGATAATTAAGAATAAATTTGACGTGCCAAGGTATACAAAAGCATATAATACATGAACAACACTAAGTAAATAAACTCATCCGCATATATTGTGACAACATAAAAGATGAAAAAACCTTGAACATCTCACATATATTAGGATCGATATTTCATAGATCAACTGAACAAAAACATAAACAAAACAAAAAATTCAAACAAATCGTTACCAGTGCGCAAAGAACTCGACGATCGCAAAATTGGCCTTGGATTCTTTTAGAACAGTCGCAAAAACGGAGCTATTGAGATCGACGGCGAAATCGTGGACTCCATCGGCGACGACGGCGTCGCCGATGGATCGAGCTTCGAGGTTTCGAAGGATAAAGGAGAAGAATAGTAGAGAAAGAATCAGACGAAAAGACATCAACGGAGAGGGAGAAAGAGAGAGAGCGAAGGAATCAAACTGGATCTGATCGAAGAAGAGTAGAAAGGTCTAATTGTAGAAATTGGGGATTTTGTTTCATCAAGGGTTTATAATATAATTGTACAGAAGAGAGAGCTTTTCTTTGATTAGTGAGGAAAAATATAATTTTTTTTTTCAAACAGTGCAGTTGCTTTGAAGCCACTAGAGATGACATGTGGGGACATCTCCTTCACGGGCCCACAGGTCAGTCTTATATGAGTAGTAAAGTACAAGAAATGTTGGTTAGCGAGAGTTGGTAAGGGGCTGTTTGTTTCACCCAATTTATAAAAAAAGATTGGTATTTGGGGTCTGACAGTGGTAAAAATATAAATTTTGAATTCTTTATGGATCCTATTCTAGAGTTTGGCTAAAAAAAATTTTAAGGAGTACCAAATCTATAAAGTAGCTACAGTAATGGTTTTTTATAGAAACCCAAATCCGAGCTTGTGCAGCGGATTTAGGCGAGATTTCTGACAGCGGGCTTCAACTTCGTTTCCGATTCCTAATCCTCACGACCATGAGCCCTAGATCTGGAATCGCTGTTCTGCTCCCGCCTCATCGCTCTCTTCTTCGTGCCTCTTCTCTCGCCCTTTGTCTTCTTCTACTTGCGTGGTCGGGGCTGTTACATGAAACCCTAGATTCTCCCGAGGCATGATTTCTTGGCCGATTTTGTGTGTAATCGGCTTCTCCCTATCTGATCCCGCCTCATTTTGCGCCGTAATTTCTTTGATCTGTTTTCCACGAGCTTGTTGGCGGGTTTCTTGCCTTTGATTCTTGGTGATCCCTTCTCGAACTTGTTCTGGTTCGGGTGGGATTGTTGGCTACGGTGGGTTCTTTGGCTTCGGTGGGTTTGTTACTTGGACGTCGGCATTTTTTCCCCTCTGCAGCTAGGTATAAGATTTTGCACTCTTTTTTAGACTTATTTCTTCGTGCTTGATGTGATGAAAGGAATCTGTAGAATGATAATTTTCTTGATAATTCGTTACATGTATAATTACCAAAAAAATAGGGTTATGTTTACTAAATTTCAGTTAATTGTGTAAAATAGAACGCATGATATTTGTGTGAATGAGTTGTTTTTTATATATGTGTTTACCAAAGAATGTGAATGCATGAAAAAGAATAGGGTTAAGTTCATTACATGAAAATCCACCGGGTAGTAGAATGTGTTGTTCTTGATAATTGTGTGAGATAGAATGCAACATTAGTTAAAATAATTATGGTTACAATTAGATTTCTTGCTTTTTAAGAAATAAATATTTGTATCAATTATCTAATTAATTTTGACAAGAAATAAGTAGACATCTTAAGCAATTATCTAATTAATTTTGACAAGAAATAAGTAGACATCTTAAGCTGTAACTGTATGATAATTTTAAAACGGATGTAGATGGATATGGAAGATGAGGAAGAATTGAAGAGGATGTGTGCTAATACAGCTATCTACGACGTAGGCACTTTGGTAACATGTATTTTGAGAATGCGTGCTAAGCGCAAGAGAATATCAACTTGTACGAAGCAAGAAAAGATCATAAAAATATATTGTAGAGAGGCTCACTTCAGACGTGTACTGGAGGGCTATCAAGATAGCTGCCGATCTTATATTAGAATGAGACCGAGGGCCTTTTTAAAACTTGTTGAAGTAATGAAAGCAAACGGTTTATTAAAAGATACAAGACACGTTCAAGTTGAAGAACAACTTGCTATGTTCATTGGTATTGTTGGACACAAAACTAAAAATAGAATAATAAGAACTGAGTTTATAAGATCAGGGCAGTTAGCATGTATTTCAATAAAGTCCTGCAAGCAATGAATGGATTACATGATCGGTACATGAAGCAAGCCCCAAAAGAAGTTCCCAAGGAGATTGCAAACAACTCAAATTATTTTCCTTACTTTAAGGTAAATTAAATACATACAGCTTAACAATTTTGCACATAAATCACTTTTTATTCAACTATGTATAATTTATAATTTTTTATAGGACTGCATTGGTTTGATAGATTGCACACATGTCGACGCGGTATTACCTAGTGACCTAGTTACACGGTTTAGAGGGCGAAAAGGGGTCACCCAAAACATCTTAGCAGCATGCACCCCTAATAAACTATTTACTTATGTCTTGGTTGGCTGGGAGGGGCAGCAAATGATTATAGGGTATTACAAGACGCCCTGTCCAGACCACAACCTTACGGGCTCCGAGTTTATGATGGTATTCATTCTCACTTGTGCACATTATGAATAATATATTAAATACTTAGCAATAATTGAGATTTTAAAATACTGTTCAATTAATGTAGGTAAATATTACCTATGTGACGCCGGATACACCACAATGTCAGGGTTCATATCCCCGTATCGCGGTGTCCGATATCATTTAAAAGAGCACACAGGTAGGACACCAAAGAATAGGAAGGAGTTGTTCAATTTAAAGCATTCATCTTTAAGATCAAAAATTGAATGCACATTTGGGATACTGAAGAATCGGTTTAAAATTCTTGCGACGAAGCCGAATTATCCATTTCCCACTCAAGTGGACATTGTACTAGCGTGTACTATGTTGCACAACTTTATTGCCTTGGAGGATCCGGATGATGACATTTTAAATGAAAATGTTGAAATTGATGAAGATACTGGGGAAGAGACAAATGAAGACGATTCAAATATGGTGGACTATACTCAAAGTAGGACACAAAGAGAGGATCGAGATGTTAGAAATGAATGAAAGGAGATGCGAGATCAAATTGCTTGGGCGATGTGGGTGGATTATTGTGCAAAGTACAATGGTGGTAACACAATGGAGAGCGGTTTAACTTAGTGTGGTATTTGTTCTATGGCTATGTAATAACTTGGTGAATTTTAAAATACTGTTCGCATCGATATTGTTTATTGTTTCTTTGCTTGTACCAAAACATTACTACTTTTATCGGTTGCTCTTTTGTTATGTTGTTTGAGAAATATCGTTGTTTCATATATTCCTTGATAAATGCTTACATATCCCATATTATTTTATATTTCTTTATTGTTAATATGGCTATGCTTAAAAAATATATTAGGTATGGCTAACAATCCGACAAATAAGCAAAGTGTGCCTTCTCATTCGAATGCAATGCCAAATCCTATATCAGGATTAACATGAACTACATGCCTGTTCAACCACAGCCATTCACTTCACCTCCGCATACATTCTCACCATTCCCACCATACAATGGTAATTATGGTGGGATGACACAGCCGCCAATGTCATACATGAGCTTGTTAGGCAGTCCACAAGGTTTGCTGTTTTCCACAGCCAGTTCTCAAAGTAGTGGACCTAATCAATTTTTACCGAACACTGGTGATTCAGGTGGAAAGGATATTCATGACATTGATGGTGCGGAGCACACTTCGCCATTGAAAAGAGGGAAAAGATTAGCTCATAAAAAAAAGTTCTGTGTGCCAGGTTGAACTCAAGAGGCGTGGCTAATAAGTTTTGGCTTCCAGAGCACGATGATGTGCTTATTCCTTATCTTGCAAATTTAGCATTGGATGGCCTGAAGCCAGACAAGAATTTCAAGGCTGAAACTTATAAAATGGCTGCTATGAAAATCAACATGCAATTCAGGACTGATTTCACTCACCTTCATGTTATTAACCACTTGAAATGTTTGAGGAACAAATTCAATGACATGAAGGCTTGCCTTGATATAAGTGGTGCTGTTTTGTTTGAGCTTGTGTATCTTTCATGCTCTTTGGGGTTGTGCCTGTTATTTGGAGCTTGTGCATCTCCTGCTGCTGCTGTGATTTGTTGCTTGTTTACCCCCTATCTGCTGGGTTTGCTGCTATTTTGTTAAGAGCTTGTGTAGCTCTTTACTGCTGGGTGTGTTGCTGTTTTGTTTTTCCTTGCCTGTGGGTTACTTGCTGTTTAGTTTTGAGCTTGTGCAGCTCCTTGCACTTGATATGTGGCAATGATGATGATCAGCGTTTACTGAGAATGCAATCTAACTTACATCATTTATCATATCCAGATGAGGCAAAAAGGGATAAGATTGCAGCCTACATTGAATTGACAATGTCTAGGCGAGGCAATTCATCCTTATAATGCAATCTGTAATAAACATGTAAGTTATAGGTGGGGCAATCAATTATGACAAGTTGATCTATTACCGAGCCATACAATATCAATTAGAATTTGTACCCAATTCAAACAACAATTTTCATTACATCCTCAATAGTTTTTGCAAGTACATGTACATAACATGAAATTTGTAATAATTAAAATAACACAAAAAATTGCTAAGAAAATTGCAGAAATTTTCCAAGCTAGTAGTTGATTTTCGACAAGTCTCAATTCTTTCTTCAACTTCTTTGATTGCAAAATATATTTATCTCCGTACCTATTTTCTTTGACATATTGGCTTCCTTGGTTGCTTGATGACTCTCCTCTTTCTTCAGCCCGTTCGAAAAAATTACATTCTTTATTTGGGAATTTTGCACACCCCTAATAACACCTACCCTTATTTTTACCATTCTTGTACACTTTCATCGGTGTTCGGAGATTGCAGTCGCAATAAACTTCATAATGTTGCCAGCACTCTTCTGATATCAATTTGATGTCGGGGCAGCAAATTGAAGACAATGGGAATTTTATAATTGCTAAAAAATGAGGATGCTTGGATTAATTTTGAGGCATCAAGGTGAATTTATAGCCACCATGCCCCTGAACTAGCCGTTGCTATAGTGTTTTGCCTAAGAATTTTGAAATCTGAATTTTGAGATCTGAAAATAGCCGTTGCTACAGTGTTGATTGCTTGAAATCTAAATTTTGTGGCTTTAATCCATTGCTACAGTGATTTTTAAATGTAAAATGGGCTAGCCGTTGCTACAGTATCGATCCAAAAAAATGGTCTTTTTGAACCAAACATGGTATTAGGAATTGGACCAATTATATAAAAGTGAGATTCCTAATCCTTTGGGTGAAACAAACATTGAATGCCCAAAAAAATAGGATTTTATAAAACTAAAAATTGTCTATAAATTTTTTATGGATTAGGTTGGAATCCATAAATTAAATAGGATTCCTAATCTAATTCCTAGCCCTTAGTGAAACAAACAGCCCCTAAGTGGTTGTTTAGGTGGATGG